GCATATCTAGGAAGCTAAGGCATTGATTAAAACATTGGGGATGTTATTATTACAGAGATTGAGAACAACAGTTGCTTCTAACAGGCATGCTAATGGTAATCTAATCAATCTTGCGTTATAAAGGGGGTATTTATGTCAGTCACTTTTGCACACCTCTCATACTCCTGCGTTGCCTTATTCCCAGGGATCACTGAGTTTGCCGCCTCCTTTCTGTGAATCGCTGTAAAACGACGTACCTCGCTCGCTGGGCGAAATATCCATCAAGCTATCGCTGGTGGTCAGGCGTTTAAGTGGTACTCTGTCCGGCGTCAGGGTAGCCAGCGAGTCTTTCTTCGACGCGTTTGACGGGGAAGACATAGTCGAGCTCTCGGGTACGTCGTCTGTCGCAATGGTGCCGATGTCTTGAGAAACAATCTTGACGTTCCCCGAGGCTCTCGTGGACTGCCGGGTGGTGCTGACTTTGGTGACGTAAAGAAGTTCGGGAAATAGGCGCCGGGCAAGGGATCGAGCAGCGGGCATGCATGCCACGATCAGGCCGACGCAAAGCTCAGTGTGAGACCACATCGCAAGACCGTAGAAGTCATCTGAAACCCTGGTCAGTAAGAGAAGGAAGCAGTGAGAACAAATACAACCTACACGTTGGGTTCCAGGAGTGGCTGAAGGTGGCGACGCTCTTCAGCCGAACAGCGCTGACGATCGTGATGAAGATTCCAACACCAAACATCGACATGATTCCTGCCTTCTGCCTCTTCTGAAGGTTGAGCCTGTAGATTTGAGTCGCTGGAAGCACGAGCATCCACACATCAATCGCGATATTCAGAGCAGCATGCGATAGCGCCATGGCTGATAGGTCGATGCAGTATCCGGGATGCCTGCCGTCCCACCCATACCAGAAGTAGCTCAGAGGCTTGCATTGGTTCAGATTAACAATGACGAAGGTGATGCAGACCGCGACGTTGAAAATCTGAGTGCCCCATAAGATCTGACGGAACGTTTCGGTGATCGATCCGAAAATGCGAAGATAAAGAAACAGGATCGATGCCTTGATCGAGGCGAGTGTAACCGAGTAGACAATCTCGAATGCAAAAAAACCCTGTGTTCTCGTCAGCACTAGTGATGATCAATACGAAAATAAGTGCAACCTTACCCGAATGAATGTTGTAATTTGATCCACGGTCAGAGTCCAAATATCTCGACCAATCCCCGCTTGCTTTGCAAGAGTCGTTGCAACCAAGAACGCAACCATCATAAGCTGCGAGCCCAACCGTCAGTCAAACCAGTCGTATCGAGAATCAACTTTCATGACTTACATATGCGAATGATATTGTCCAGTCATCCCATCCCCAGGTCCCCATCCGCAACCACTTCGTCAACAGTCTCATTGCAAAGAATATTGTGACGGTCCCGAATAGGAAAGCCGGAACCCATGTTGCAGTGGCTCCCTCGTCGTGGTAGGTGAAGTGGCAATATGCCCAGGTCTGGTTTTTCGTGACTAATTCCCCCGTTAGTTTCTCCTTCCGTGACACAAATTCTGAAAGGCAGCCTACTGAGCGCCTGCTGTACACTGCATTGAATCCTAACACAGTGAATGACAGCCATGTTGTAGTTCATGTCTCCGCAGAGACATGTCGAATTCGTGAATTCGCATGGTGTATAATCGAGGGGTTCGAATACGCAGGGCAACTATGACGTGATGTTAACAGAGAACCCCTCACAAACTTCATTTTCACCAATGAACCCCCCAGAGAAAAGACCTACAGCGCAGTCGGGAACGTTATCGTAAAGGCCATACACGAGTGGTAGGCAAGCGAGAATGGGCAGGGCACAGAGCGAGGCCTTCATTGCAGCGATAATAGAGGCGTGTCGTTCGGTGATGTCGATCAGAGCATGACGAAAGGGCAGGGCGCTGTGGCTCGAGGGTGCTCTGGCAGACACCAAATTTGCTGTTAGATCGCGGGGCAAGAAAAGAGAAGACGAGAGCACATTTCAGACAAGGGCGGGATGGGGTATGTAGACCACATATGTGGATAGCAGACAAGGTCCGGATCAGCCGTGGCGTACGGGGCGACGTCGTGTAAGCCACGGGAGCGATGGCGAGGTGGCTGACCGGGTGCGGAAGACCCGGCCCAGACCACTGGGGCTGTCAAAGTCATTCAAGTTCAAGCTACCGTTCATGACAACCCTAGTGTGAGCAATGCCAGCTGGGAAGCCCGGACGTGCATGTGGGATTACTTGACTACAGAAGAAAGGACGTAGGCCCACGTTATCCGCGAGCACCAGGAGACTGGTTACGCGACCGAGATCCTGGAACATCTTTTGGGCATCAGGAACGGGTCTCAGATGACAGCGGTCACGACACCAGCATATTGATCAGAGAGGGTGTGTTCGGCGATGAGCCCTCTCGGCGAGCCTCGCTCCGACCCGCCGAAGCATGTTTGCGCCCTTGAACTGGCTGGAAGTCTTGATTCCAGGTGGTGAAATCCAAATGCGGGACAGAGATTGGTCGGGAGTTCTGCTTTGAAGCTACGAGCCTCTTTCGACAGTCGGCAGTATCATACAAACCGGGCAGGACCACCGAGTTAGAGGGCTGGCTCGACCGTATGGGAGTTCCGGACAAGATGTTTTAACTGAATGCGTCACCGGAATACGGCGTGCCTCTTTTACCGCAAGCCCCCTTCAAGACCGCTTGAGGCGCCGAGGACACAGCCAGGGCTTAGTCGCGGGGCTAGCTTCGATGGGGGCTTTGGTGGCGTACATATTTGATCTAAGCGTGGAGAGATGGTCTTGAGTGTTCCTGAAAGGAATGCGTTGGGGTCGGCAGCATTTTTCGTTTTAAGACATGGTTTCACTTATCTTTGGGAACTCAGCCATTGGCAATCGTGATGCTCGGGGGTTTTTCTTTGCTTTACGAACTTCGCGAGGACGGCGGTGCACCTTGGCGAAGACGGCGTCGAAATAGGAGTCGAACTCCCGTTGAGAACCAAGATGCTGGGACACAAGGCACGCCTTAGATGATTATCGATCATAATGGCATCGGGCAAATGCGTAAATCGCGGAATGCGAAGCGCTTCGAACCTTTCAGGGTCCGAATCATTTTTCAGACACGGCGTATTTCGAAAAAACGTCTTGTTTACCAACTCGAGCATTTTGGACCCTGACAATCGTCCAAGGTATCATGTTGTTTCAACGCCGGAGCAACACGATGCATCCGACTTTCTGCTGCTGCCAGGCTCCTATCATTACGTTGCCAAGTGCTTTCGGCTGCCTGTATGATGCCATTCCACCGGAATTGGAAGCAATCTCGGCAGAGACACGCCAATCTTCGACGAAACAGTAGCAACTGCTGGCAGTGTCTCGAAGTGCCCACCGGCTATTTTCAACGAACACGGCTGATTCCAGTCACTGCCTCGCACGAAAACGTGAGAGGTCTCTTGGCGGATTACCCGAGCAGTACCAAACCCTCGGCAATGCCTCATTGACTATTCTATGGAACGGTTGGAGCAGCAAGGTAGACCGGTTTCGTGTAACGTCAATGACTTGAAGAATCTCGCCAAGAGTCAAAAGCTGGCCGTCATCCCGCCGATTCTTCCATGGAGTGCCAAGGCAGGCAAATTCTGGGCACTGTCAGCACAACGTTTTGCCACGTTATTCACCCTTTGCATTCGGCACCAGGAGGCCCAGACTTCTCGGAGCGCTTGCGATGGAATTTGCCGCCCCTTCTGATCTGGACCACGCAAAAACGTGGATATCAGCATTCACACAACGCCGTACCGACGCGCCCATACATGCGTGACGCCCTGAAGGACCCTTAGTACATTCGCCGGACACATGGAGACGGAAGGTTCCATAAAAGCGACTGATTCCCGGGGGGTTGACCGAGATGATACCCAACTGCCGGCGAACCGCCGGCGGCACTGTAGGTCGACAGGCGGCGATGACACTAGGAACATAGTTGGGGCTCGATAGGTATTCTGGAGGTCTTACAACCTCGCCAACACCTCTGGAGATAGGTTCTATGGTGTTGCCATACCGTTCAACATGTTGCTGGGTCTCGTTGGATTATTTTAAGCTTAATGCTCCGAGCCGTTCTATACATGGAAGCACTACACGACATCACGCCGCCGCGATAAAGATGGCCTGAGGACATCGAGATGCATGACCCTGGTCTAGATTTCCGGCATTGCCTACAGTAATGACTAAGTTATTGCACCAAACTTACGATTACTAACCTCGTGGCAAAGATGTCCGGATCCGGGCATGGTAGTAGTCGAGTTCTTTGACTGCCCCGCGCGCTTGTCCCGTGATCGCTGTAGTTAAACCGGCAAATCTCTGGACTCACTAAAGCGGAACTATGCCGAAGAGTGAGCCCGGTGTTCCGCAGTCATTATGGAGGGCGTGTCTGCCTGCCTCACTTCGATCCCATCAACACCTGATTGGTTGGCTGTCTAAAACAAAGCGCAAGGAAATGGTACATCGGAATTGTGTGATAGTCCTTCGATTTAAAGGATATTTGACCGGTATCCAATTGTAGTATGTTTCCCTTGGCGCGCAACAGAAGAAGAAATTTTGTTCATGAACCTATTCAGATATAGGATTGAAATTGTAGGCCTATTTACACAAATCAAATCCAACCTGTGGGCGCCCATTCCACTAGCTTTGGGTCATGAATCTTGTACCGTTTGCACTTCAAAAGGGTCACCTCAAGAACCGTTGATCTGGTGGTGGTTAAGACATCGTCCGACTAAGAAACCAATGATGCATTAAAGGAGTACAGATAGCCGTCTGTATTTGTAGGCAAATGAATACCCTTACCGAGCGCAAGAGCGAAAGGCAAATTGGATATCATCATTTGTACTCAGGCGTGGTCTGAAGGCTTCCATTCGAGTTGGGTACATGTAATGCTTCCCGTACCATAGCAACGGTGGGTCATATCTTCCGGGTGTTCCGTACACATAGGAAGCTTTCAGACGCACCAGGAAGACCCCTATGTCTGTGCATTCTCACTCTTCGTCTGACTCTTCGGACTGACCTTCCGGCTTTTGTCCGTAGACAACGTGGCTATCGATGTATTAGCGCCTTTACCACAAGTGACATGATTCTTGACGATCCCTAGCAGGTATACATACTGATCGAACATAGCGTGGAGCGCATTGCTCTTGATCTCTTGTCGGACCTTCGCCAGCATTACAAGGACCTCCTCCTTCGTCTGCCCTAAGACATCGCAAAAGAGCTTGAGAGAAAAGGCCTCCAGCCCATCAAGGGTTTGTATCAAGTTCAGCATGCCGACCTCTCTGTGTTGGGGGTCCTTGGCCCAGGGCCCGATGGGGCACTTGAATTTGTAGTGCTTCACGTTCTGGAATCCAGCGTCCTTGACCCAGTCTTCCAGCTTTAGTCCGGGACAGCCAGTCCGACCCATAGACTCACAAGCGTCCACGAACTGCTTATTCCACTTGCGTGTGATATGCTCCTCGGTGTAGGTTCCGTCGTCGGAATAATACTCCGAATTCAGATCTTGGAACTCGGCCCAACCCCCAGGGTTGAGATATCTAAAAGTTCACCACACTTAGATAAAACCTTGTTTCTGAATCCGCAGGGAGAGTCAAAGCTTACTTGAAGACGTTGCGAACCAACTTGGGCCAATCAGCGATGGACACAAGCATGTGTCGGACGAATATGTAGTCGTATTTTTCGACTCCAGCCCACGAACTCTCGACATCATCGATCTCGAACTTGACATTGGAGGGGACCCTAAGTATATCAGTCTTAGTTGTGAACTCATACTAGTTTCCAGTCGTAATGCATTACCATCCGGGCTGAATAGCACTCAAGTCGTTGCCGATAATCTAATTTTGTTAGCATTAATGCCATGAGCCTAGCCCCTGGGGCACTTTACCTCGGCGTTAGGGAAAACGTCGGCCATTTCAATCGCCCCTATGCACTTCAATTCAACCTCTTGCCATCACTTCGACCGAAATAGCGGTCAATACTCACAAATACCGATCCCTGTGCCAATGTCAAGTATCCTCTGAATCTTGTCTTTCTCAAGCGGTGCTAGATAGAGTCTGTTTCCGATTGCCTTCACTGCCATGGCATGGGTCACTTCCAAGCGCTCCATCTCCAGCTGCAATTATCAGCAACGTGCGAGTCCTTTTTGTAATGATAACTTACATCGTCATTCGGAAGTAGGTAAGCTACTTTGAGGTTAGAGAAATACGCAGTGATCACGTCTCAAAACCGAGACTCACCTCCTCGGCGAAAAGCATGATATCTTCGTCCGTAGTCTACTGGATAGTCAACGATGCTTGATGAAAGCGATTTCGTGTATGTGGTGCTGAGATGGTCAGCGAAAGAAAGCATCTATAAACCAAGCGCGTTTACATTCGCTCGTCGATTGAAGAGCCGTCGTCATCCTATTGCCGTCAGAATTTTGACTTACAGCTCCGACTGCATGGGTGGGTGCATTTACGGTGGCATCATCAACCTCGAGCGGTGCTGATTCAACTGTCGAAGGTTCGTTCGGCACCGAGGCTGCCTCTATCTCAGAAGTAGGGGGGTTGGCGGCTGATACCGGATTCTGCACAGGCGTTGGAGCGCTATGGCCGGGAGGTTCGTTGGTGATTCCCATACTTGAGGCCTAACGTTGCAGTTCTGGATTTGAAAGATGCCACTTCTTTAGTGGAGGATTGAACGGCAATGAGAAAGAGAGAAGAAAGCAAGTGATCAGAAACGGGAGAGAACGTTCTTTTGAGCATGTAAGTTTCTTAACCAACGCATCAACTAACAAACCCGCTGTTGGAACGGCATAAAACCTGAACAAACACAAAACAATCTGCCTGCACCCAGCTTTGCTGCCGCTGCACCAACAGAGCCGGGATTTCCGTTTGGGACCAATGAGAAAGGGTTTTCCTGCAAGTTGCTTTCAACCAGAACGTCGATTTGGGCAACATGTCCGCTCGACTGCGCAACTTCCCCTCTTCGCCAAGATTATGTGCGGATTGGCCGACGCAAGTCTCATGATCGTAGCGGAATTTGTGCGCGCCCCTGCAAATTATGGCGGTCTTATATTGCGCCGCTTCGATTGCCGAGTTTCCATGTCGTTGTGGCATTATTATTTATTTCACCGATTACAAGCAGAATTGAGGACAGCGTCTTCTTTAGGTTCTGTGATTGAGTAACGTAACAATAGTTGGAAACTCTATGCAGGCTTTTTGACAATGAGATTCAGCAACACCCGACAAAAGGAGAACAAATGAAAAAAGCCCTCCTCGGGTGCATAGTTGCCTTAGCACTCAGTGGTCTCAAATGCTCCTGTGGTGAAAGTGCCCGCACCAGTGGTGTCCAGGCGAAGGAATGTTCTATCCGGCACGGACCCCAGCGAGTTGTACCCAACTTGAACGGAGAAGTTGTTACCGTTCCGCAAGTTTTGAACACCGACAGTCGCGCTCTCACCCTGATCGTACGTAGTGTAGTAACGGTAAGTGACAATGCCAGGCTGGGCCTCCTCAAAGGTGGCGGTGAAGTGGTAGAATTGACTCGGCCGGCCGAGGTGCACGGTCACCCACTCGAAGGTGACGTTCCGGCTGCCAGCATCGGAACCAAAGACCTGGTATTGAACGGCTTGGCTCGGAGACTGGATGCGCAGGTCATCCCAGAATGGCAGAATGGAAACGGGCGGAATTTCATCGGAGGGAAGCGGCTCGTTGTCGTAGGCCGTAGAGCCCTCGTAAAGCGAAAGAAATCCGTTGCTGCTGGCATAGACGGTCGTAGCATTGGATCCGAAAACGCCGACGGGAAAGGGCAGTAAGGCGCTTCCGAAAGTATCATCGCCGCTAGATATCAGAGAGGTGGGACTGGGCAAGATGGGAGTAGGAGTGCAGGTGCTGCCGACACTGACCGTAGTCCCGTCCGCGGAAGGAGTAGTAGAGGACGAGGACTCGACAGGTGTAGCGGAACTGGAAGATGGGGTCTCGGTGGTTGAAAGGTCTGTACTAGTCGGCGTGTCTGCGGATGATGCCTCTGTGGAAGACGCCTCAGTAGAGGAAGCTTCCGCAGATGACTCTACAGACGACACCACTGCAGACGTGACTGTGGATGTTCGAGTTGACGAAGACACTTGTGTGATCGTGACGAACGACGAAGAGCTCTCTACGGCCGAAGAACTCTCTACAACCGAAGAGCTGGCGGCGTCGGTGGAGCTCTGAGCACCGCGGGTAACTGTAACAGCCGGAGTCGCCGCCGTGACGGTGACGGTGGTAGGCAAGACACCGGAGAAACACTGACAAGCCGACCAGTACGCGGATGCATCAGCGCAAGCGCTCGCGTAGGCGGGGACAGCACCGGTGATGATGGGAGCTGCCTGTCGGGGCGCGTGAACGTTCCTGCGGGCAACGGGGTTCGCAGTGACAGTCACAGCCCTTTACATATCATGAGCTTCTGTCATAGCAACGCAAAATGGTTCGTGGAGCGGGATTTGACCGACATGACTTACCCTGGAGTAACCGTGACTGTGGCGGACACGAAAGCCTCGCACAGAGACTGTCGGGCTGCGAAGGGAGGGTTCTGCCGGGCTGTGCCAGCGACGGCGCGACCACAGTTGTTGTTACAGATGGCTGCGGAAACAAGCGAGGGAGCGCCAATAACGGCTACGATGACCGAAAATGTCTTCATGATGGTGCAAACGGATGGATGAATGTCAAGGTGTAACGAACTTTAAGTTGATAGGTGAACGAGTGAGGCTAAAGACTGCGTATAGATGGATTGATGAAGGGAGGGAAAGGGGCGAAATATTCTCCCTTTAAATAGTTTATACCATGGAAACACTCATTGACCGTGATCTTTTGGCTGGCTCTCCTGCTCCAGGGATAGACACTTTGAACAACACAACAGAATGCTTGAGCCTTACGGCTGAATCGACATGTGCCGCGCTGCCCCCGAATCATCTTGGCCTGCCCCCTGGCGATTCGCGCTCTCTTCATATACCCCCATAGGTGGCCATAGAGGTTTCTCTAGCCCAGGCCATCCTGGCCCTCGATTATTTCCCCGTGAGAGTCATACGGCAGTCAACAAGGTGCGCCTCCAGGCGGCAAACTGCGAAGAAGAAAACTTAGAAGGGAAGAAAGATTCATCTTGGCCTAGAGCTAGCTGGGGAGTGGTGGTTAGATTTGTCCCAAGGAATTGGTTTGTACTCTTTTCGGAAACTTCAAGTAGAGCTACGCGCCCAAGAGGAGTAAAAAATGCGTGTAGGTTGCAGCCCTCCGAACCCCGATGTCAGGATAATCGACACATGCTGGTGGTCACGTCAATCTAGCGGAGCGAGCCGAATAACCTTAAACATGACCTCACACATAGGACTCTAGGTGAATCACTGAGTTTCGTGATGCGAGATGTGGCTTTCTAAGGGGGCGGCTGACAGCACCTCCTAGTCTTGGCCCCGTCAGCATCGGTCGAGTTTACATTCTTCGACGCTTTCCTGACGCTGTTCAGAGACCTATGCGATGCCACACCACCCATTATTGAAGGTTCGAAATTCGGTTACGCATCTCAAGGCTTCCCTAATGCCAGAGAAGGCAGCCGAGGAAGTGAACCTGCCGCATCCAACAAACTAATCGAACGCGCTGCTTCTGAAACTCATGGATATGTTGTCGGTATGCAAGAAAAATAAGGCCAGAATAGGTTATAGATGGGCACTTTCGTGGCGAGGACTGGGTTCCACAGGTACCAGCTCAATTATCCCAAGCGCAATTCCGCAGAGCAGAAAACATGTTGTGGGTTTGTGAATGGACCTCGACAGTCACGTTCTAACAACGTGCGCCCTGTAAGGCTGCCTGTGGCTTCAAGACATTTGCCCTACAAGACCACATACCCCTTGTCATGCGGGGAACATCACAGGTCTCTCCATATTTCCAGGGCAAGTGGCGATAGCTTCCCTACGAAGATGAAGACAACGGAATAATTCGACTATCGTCCAGCCTTGCGGTTGAAAATGTCAGACTTGTGACCATGTTCAATCTTAGAACCTGAAGATCAGACCCCATGATGTGGAAAAACGAACGGAAGTGCCCGTGATATTGATATCGATAAATGAATATTCCATCGCTATGCCGCCTTTTGCCCAACCCAAGAACAAAACACCATATATGTATGCACGCTATCATCATTCAATGCCTCTCTCACTTGTGCCAAGAACCCTTGAATCTGAGTCTCCGTCATTCCCAAGCTCGAGAACGGTTTCACACCTGCTGCCCCCAGAAAATCTGCGCACACCTGGCGCATTTGCCCTCCCACGTGCTGCTGTAATTCGTTGTCATGAGCCCAGGGGCCGATTGGTATCTTGTACGTCCGGCACTGCACATTTATAAACCCAGCTTGGTGCAGGAGTTCCCCCGTCCTTGCTGCTATTCGAAGATCGCATGCAGCTCGCTGTTGGGCCGTCTGCAGATGCGCCCAAAATTCGGTTACGGGGAAATCTTCCGGCATTGTGCCATCGTCACATGACAAGACGGCATTAAAGTCTTGGGTTTCTATCCAGCCCCCTGGCTTTAAATGACTGATGACAATTGTTAGATGTGGGGGTTGATAATATGATTGGATACAAAAGAACCAGAATAAACTAACTTGTACGCCTTATCTAGTATCATTGAAGCGTTGGCTATGTATGGGAGGAAGTCTCGAGCATGTATGAAGTCGAAGTCATTGCTTATCTGATAAAGCATAGTATGAGAGACGGCCTCCGGTATGAAATTGGTAAAATCTCATGAGGGTTTCAGGTACTCACAGGATCTACCCACTCGTCTCCAATGTCGTCTATTAAAAAGTCCACGTTTCCTGGAATCCTGAATTGTGTGAGTGGCTGTCCTCATGCAAGCAATATCCAGACATTGCTTACATATCTGGCTGTATTGGAGACAAATCTACGGCGACGACCTGCGCCCCAGGATATGTGTCTGCGACTAGATTGGACAGAATTTAGTCCCAAGATGCAACAGGCCATTAACGAAGACTCTTGTTACCTTCAATAGCCCAGACGCCTGCAGTGATATTGAATGTCAGCTCATGTCGCAAACACTTCACACACCTTGCTCTCACTTACCTACGCCGGTGCCTAAATCGAGAATCTTCTGCGGGTGACTCCCGATCGGCGCATGGAAACGCCGGCCCTCGGTCACACGCGTAATCATATCATGCTTCAGATATTCTCTTCCTTGCTCAATCATGTCGTTCGGAAAGGGGTATTTCCCATCTCTGTAGCGGTGATATCTGTTGGTTTCCATCAGCTTGAAGACTCCAGGCAACAGGCGGTGAAGTCTGAACATGCGCCGAATGGGAATATTCGTACCGTCTGCCTCCGTAATGAACATGGTTCTTTATTGACGAAGTCATAGACTTCCACCCATCCGGCTCCGCGCTGAACAGGAGGTAGTCGTCATCGTCGCCGATGCCCTCGTCGTCGGCGGGTGAGTTATTTGCAGTAGCGTGATGTGGCGAGTGGTGTCTCTGATTGACGGCAGAGGAGGACATGCTCTCGTCGCGAGTTTGAGGCTAGCCAGAAAACAGTACGAAAAAAAAGTAAAGAGCCCAGGGCCCCGGGGAAGAAGAGTGGTTTGACGAAGTTGGGGCGGCGGTGGAGCTTCTAGAGGAGAGCGGGCAAATGCGACGGAGAGGCAAGCTTTCATCATTGAGTCGGGAGGACGGGACGCGCCGAGCCTCTCCACTGCTAAGCGCTTCGGGCCCAACAAGAGAAATGTCACGCGACCTGCAGCCCTGATTGGTTATGCCTCATCTATCTGATGGGGCATAGCCCACTCGCCTCCTCACGCCTGCCAGTTTTTCCCAAGGCTGCTCGCCGCATGTTGGTCCCGGTGGGTGGCGCGAGCCGACATTCCGTCACTGGCGGTGCTCCCTTTTTTTGACGCGCAAACACGCACAATTCGTGTTGGTGCCAATGTGGGTGGGAGCATACCACCCCGGTGTGGATACGGAAAGGTGGTGTAGCAATCTTGTCGTGACAAATGTATGGGGGTTTGCTGTAGTTGCAACGTGTCTGGCCTGTCAATTTCAAATTGCAACGGGCCCTTCCGTTGGCCGCATTCACCCATGCTTGACACTCCCGAACGAACCGATTGCAGAGATAGAAGCACGCTCTACTCTAGTGTAGCCCACGAGCGGGACCAAGCGCCGATTTCCTCGGGGCCGGGACGGTGGCCCCGCCGCGGCGGACGGTCTCCGTGGGCCGCCGAAGTCGCCGGGCTTATGCACCGAGGGTCCGGACAAACCACCGTCACGGCTATCCGTATGGTGTGCTCAAAGGAAGGGTCCAACGTCTGGCACCAGTTTCACCGCCATCGCCAGAGTTTTCTTCAACATTTAATCCCGGTAGCCTATAAGCGGCACAGCTCGCTGAAATGTGACGCGAAGAGTCATTTCTGGCCCCCTGGCCAATAGTCTCTCGTGGCGCAGCTTTGGCGAGATTGCTCCAACCTCAGAATTACAGAGGGGAACTTCCTTGGCATGCAGCCTGTTTTGTTGTTTGTTCAGCGCGTTGGACCAACATGCTGCACCTACTGCAGAGCGCCAACACCGCTGCAGTCTTCCAACAACACCAACACCGGGCGGCAACACAGCCCAGGATGTTCGGTCTTCAACGCGACTTTTCTTACTGCATCATAACTAACTGCATAGAGCCAACCAACCGTGCCTGCCTGGATGAACAGCGCCAATCAACGTCCTCGCCGTCTGACAGATCGGGGCGGAGCACGAGGCCTCCATTCCGCCCCGGGCGGGAGGACTATCAGAGAGGGCAGAGGACCGAAAACGCTACTGTCCCGGGCGCTCATCTGATGCCAAAGTACCTAGAGATAAGCATAAGATATAACGGCATCACCGTCTGGTAGCACGTTCCAAGCTGTGAATGTCGAAACGCCCAGCGCAAAAGATAGAGACAGAAACTGAAACTGCTGTGGCTGTACAAAATGATGTTTCTGCAACAACTTGTACTCCCTGCCGCCGCCGTTGGCCTCGTCAGCCCGGTCGCAGCCCAGTCGTCGACAAAGACGGAGAAGTCGACCGTGTGGCTGCCGCCGCGCTCCACACGCGCCGGCGAAAACATTTACGCGTCCGTCATCACGGCGGCTCCGTCCTCGACCGAGTTCCTGTTGGCATGCACGTCAAACTTTCGATCAGCGGCGTCGTGCTCGCAGTTCAGCGGCGTGACGCTGACCTACGGCAACAGCACCATGAAGATCGGGTTCAGGTAATACGCCGCCAACTCCGTTCTAGGCAGCAGCGGGTTTCTCAAGGCAGCAAGGACTAACATTACCTGAAAAGATCTGAAACATTCGACTGCACGCGAGGCTCAACGGCAAGATGTTCTGTTGGTGGCGCTAACAACGCCGCTGCCGCCGAGACAGTTCTCTCGAGCTCTGAGTCTGCCTCGTGGTCGACGGCGATCACCATCATTGGCGGCCACGACAAGTTGAACAGCGCGAAGAGCAAGACATCGTCGACGTCGACGACGCCTGCATCGGCGGCGACATCAACAGCCAATAGCGTGTGCAAGCGCGCGACGACGGGCGATGTTGACGACGGCACCAACAGCGCGACGAAGCCCAAGACTAACCACAACAATGGCGATGATGGTTGTTCTGGCGCTAACAGCAATTTCGCTGGGCTACCAACGATCATGGCCGGTGTTGCACTGGTTGTCGGCGTCGCCGTAACTGTCTACTTGTAATGGAAGAAAAATGACACGCAAAGATCAGTGAGAAATGGCAATGAACAGAGAATAAAGATGCGAAAGAGTTTTCTCAGTTGTTGAGATGATCATGGGCAGAAAAAGCGACGGGGAATGAGATAACCATGCAGATAACAGCGAGCTGTTATTGATGGACATCCGTCCCTGATCATTTCCGTCTTCTGGCCCGTGGTCACGAGTCTGTCGCTTCTTTGGAGGATATATCCGGTTCATGTTGCGTTTGCGGATGACTTTTGGTGGTCGATATAGGCATGGTTTCAGAAGCGAGTACGACGACCAGACTACGCGTTTGTATGTCGAACGAGAGTATGTATGTATGTATGCCCTAGGGATGTTGCCTTTCTCAGCACCCACATCAGGGATTCGCACGATTCAAACAATAATGACACACATATGACAATCCGCCTGGCCCCAAAAATATGCCACCCCGCAGCGCTTAACCTTTGAGGGGGCGACGAGCCGTTTCAGTGTCCCTCGGCCCCTGGGCGGGTTTTGACAGGCATTTGGGCCGTTGGATGTGGTGGGAAAAATACGCAAAAGGACCGGAAAAGCAGGCCAGCACAGGGGATCCAGTATTTACGGTAGGCTCAGGCTGCACTAGCGACAGTTAAGCACCTAGCGCGTCTACCTTGTTTTCTTAGTCTCCTGGCTTCCCGAAAGTCTGTTGGGGGCAAATGCGAGGTTGGTTCCTGAATCGCCAGAGGCACCCTTGTTCCTCTTACTGACCGGACCTGCGGGCGTCTTCGAATGACAGTCTTCGTCACCGGCGACTCGTCCACCGTGCTCGGGAGGACGTGTTCCCGTCCAAACATCTAAGATTGGGCTTATGCCGTGCGCGGATGCCGTCGGGATGAGGTGTTCACCTGAGTGTCAGTTGATTCAGTTGACAAGTTGTCAGAGCTGACGTCAAAGAAAGTTTCGCGACATTGGCGCAAGATGGGACGAAATGTAAGAATATTCTGCCCAGCCAAACGCGCATCAGCAGGCCCAAGGAATCTCGTCTTTCGGTCGTCGTGTTTGGGATCTCCGTGGGATCACCGACACAGGGTAGAGAGCCCACTTCAACACGCATCTCTCGCATCATCCAGGCGGTGACGAAAGCTGGTGCTAAGCCAACCGCGCCAGACCGACGTCTCCGAGGCTCTTGTGACGAGGAAAGAAGAAAAAAAAGAATGGGCATGACAGATGTGTGCACGGACGAAGCTGATGCCGTCCCAATATTGTCCTCCACAGCGTCTGAAGGTTAAGCTTGGCAGTATGAGGCAAGGGTCGTGAAACCCCCCTGGTGGTGGGGAAGCTCGGAGCCTTCCCGCCAACTCAATCAACCAACAGTCGACTTCCGGAACTCTTCTCTATTATTGACGGTCTGCGAGTGCATCTCCCATTGGGTAATACAGCCGGATCAGATAGTAGGAGACCCGGGACCCTGGGATGGGACAATACCGCTAAGTGTCGGAGCTCGAGGCCGACTTGGCTTGGCTTATCGCCAAGACCGTCCCTCGAAAGGGCCCCAGTTTCTCGTAGCAGCGCCTCCGTCTCAACCCCGGGCCCAATCTTTCTCCTCGTCCATGATCCATCCCCCCCTCTGTCGTCCATGTCAGCCACTCAGAGACCCCTTTTGCACCTTAACACAACTCCACGGAGCCTCACGAGCCTCAAAGTTGTAACGACAGGCGCTCAGGCAGGGCATTCCCTGTCGCGCACGCCAGATCCGGTCGTCAGTTAGCTTCCCGATCAGGTCTAGCAGAGGCAGCCGCAACATCTTGGCAGCTTCATCGCACCCATGCGTCACGTACTCTGGAACCTCCTTCGAGGCTGGCGGGCTGACCTGCAGCCTCTGAGATGACATGTTCGCGACCTTGACGTCTCAACCGCCCTTCCGAACCCTGCCATCCCATCTTGAGTCTATTGTCTGAATGGTGCGCGTTCAGCGGCCGCTACGACCATGGTGACTGCGACAGCTGGGGCACATCAGATCCAAGGGGAGAGGGGCCGAATGGAAGCACTTGCTCGTTCGTGTCCCCATCACGAGAACGAGGGGGCCTGCCAAAAGTGGGAAAGATGGGAGGCAAACATCCAATGATCCAATGCAACCATGCAGCTTAATCAGGCACGTAAGTGTGAACGGACAAGACGATCGTCTGAAGAACGAATCTATAAAGATCAGCTCGATCTTCCTCTAATCCGCCTCTTCTTTCCTTTCCTCATCACGCTCTACAATCATTACAACCTTGTTTGTTTTCTTCTTCTCTTCAAAACAGCTGTGCTGTCTTCAATCTCTTCCTAACGCACTTGATCATTCATTCTTCTTGGGTCCGTGTCCCTCTTTTTCGTCTCTTCTCAACTTTCGACAACTTTCTCAAAGTTACCAAACCCCCCTTTCCAACCTTTCAAAATGAAGTTCTCTCTCGTCGCTGTCGGCTTCGCTGCCTTCGCCGCCGCCGCTCCCCTGGCCGCCCGCCAGAACAACGTCTTCTCCACCCAGACCTTCAACGACCTCTCCATCAGCGGCGGCACCGCTGGCACCGCCAAGCAGGAGGCTCTCGACAAGCTCTCCGGTCTCCCCACCGACCTGAGCACCGTCAGCAAGGCCGATCTGGACTTCCTCAACAGCGTCAACCAGATCGCCAACGACGCCGAGAAGGAGGCTTTCAACCCTGCCATTGAGGCCGCCACCGGCGAGGAGGCCGATGCTCTCCAGGTAAGAACTTCAGCCATATCTTCCAGCAGCCAAGTTTTCCAAGGACGAGACTAATAATGCAATTCA